AAATTAATTTCTTTTTTTTTTTTTTAATTGCAGCAATCCTTGTTTTTTAAATATTTGTATATTTATATGAATTTCATTTTTCTTCATCTTAAACTTAGTTCTTTGCATGGTAAAAAAATCATGGCCAATATGTATTAAAATCAACAAAAATGTGTAATCTGGTCTAAATGAATATACATATTTGATGCCACCCACAAATTCGGGGAATTTGAGTGAAAAAAAAAAATGTTACTTACCATCACTCTTAGTTACCATTGTCTCCTCCATGCATATCACAAGTGTAATAAAATTTAGTATATTTGACTTGCATGCTAGTCAAATTCACCAAACTTTTGTGGAGTAGCATTTTATATAATATAAGTGAAGGAATAACTAAGCTGATACTGACATTCATTAAACTTACCTTAGTTCAGAAATATCAGATATTGCTTAGGGAAATTGTTCTGTGCTAATCCTTTGAAAATTAACATTCAACTTTTCTTATCACCCAAACTTAAACAGTTCTGGAACCAGTAGAAGAGAAACAGCTATGTCAGTGACAAGGTAGGCTTTATGAGGAAGTAATCTAAAGTTGGTTAAATATTTATCATCACCTGTTTTATGATTGACATAGATATTTATTTCCTACTGGCAACAGTGTTTGGAGTTGAAGCCACTCATAATCACAGGCTGGACTCTAAATACTAAACTCGTTAGATTGACGCAATACAATCTTCATATTTTTATCCCATTTTTATTTACTCTCAAGTGAAGCTTAATAAATATCAAAGTATCTTTTACTGAGTTTTACTCTAGTTCCATATTGGCCATCATTGCATAAAATAATCTATTATAGTCATCTACATAGAGAAAGTCTCTCAAGTAAAAGATAATTAGATTTCAATTTAATCTTTTATTGATGTTATTCATTTTTTTTTCATTTATTAGCTTCTGAAGCAAAAACACATATAGGCCCTCAACAATAAATCAGTTTCAATGAAAAGTTCTTTAGCTTAATAGTAAAGTACTAAATGATTTACTTTTATTTCAATGTGTTTTCATCACCTTACAAAGCATTTTAGGTATGGTCATGAATATATTATCATCATTAGCTGCAGCATTTTTGTAACATTATCCTCATAACCATTTATGAGGCAAATTGTGATAAAGTATTTCCACATAATTCAGCTGATGTTGATAAAGATGAGTATAGCTATAAAGACATAGGTAATGCCATAATCACTGTTAATCGTTGCTTAATAAATCTCTAATAAAAAAGGTGGTCAATTGAATATCTATATGTAATCTATGCATACAATTTATTTGATATAGCATATTTTTAATGGTGTTTCAGATCAAACTTATTTGATATCTATTTATCTATTCAATGTTTCAATGAACATAATAATGGTATAAAACACCCTAGCTTGTACCTTTTTCCAATGGCTAAACATTTCAATGAGAATTTAAAGATTTTATTGAATTAGAAAACAAATACTTCTCATTTGTTTATAAGCTTTTATGATTATATGAGAAATGGCAAAAAGATTTTCATCTTCTCAAGAACCATTTCTAACCATAGTTAGTTTATCAATGGAACCATATTGTCTCAAATTAAAGCAGAATTGATCACATTGAAAAATTTTAATAAATTTAATTTTTTTTAGTATTTTATGTCTATTCTTTGAAGGAATTAAGTTATGCAATTGAAGCTAATTTTAAATTCTAACCTTTAACACTCTGCATTATTCACTACTTTCCTTTCTACTGTACTGTTTCTCAAGGTTCCTCTACTGCAATATTTAATTTTGTTGACCATCAAGTTATGAAATGGTGAGAATACAACTGCAAAATTCAAACACACCATTATTCATTCATCTTTCTTTTCTGGACTCAAATTTGTCTTTAAGGACAAAATCAAGTTCCAGAATATTAAAGGCTAACTTTTAACTTAAATTCAACTTCTGCTTACATTTATTGAATGAATAATTTTCATTATTTACATTCAGATTAATGTCTTCATCTTTGTTGACCCAAACAAATCTTTCATCTGAACTGTTTGCCAGTCTTGACAAATTCATGTTGTTGTTTTCCAACAATTTAATTCCTTCATATTAATATAGTGTAGTATGGATTCAAATTCAAACTATATAGTGTTTTTAACCCATCTCTGGTTTTGGTTGTTTCCATGGAAACTAAATAGAATAAAATTAACAAAAAATACAAAATATATTGTAAATCTATGAACTTATCTTACTGCCACTGTTGTCAAAGTTTTAAATCATCATCAGAACTCAATTTCTCTATTTCCCTTCTTTAAACTAGTTGTCAGAGACAAGAATGCCCTACAAGGTCATCTGGGCATTCATAACCCAATTTTTGGTTGTCATGGTATCTAAATTTGATTATCTGGCTAAAAATCATAATATAAATTGCTAATTTGAAAGCCCTACTATATACCATATATATATTAGGTTGATTCAAAAATAATGACCGTATTTAACAATGGGTATCATTAAATTCTGTTGTAAACAAACACACATTTGTCCAGGCTTATCTTGCTGGTACATCTGGAAAGTGTTAATTAAGTGAGTAAATAATAATAATAAAAAGGGAAAGCAGATTCCTTCTGCAATTTTGAGATGAGTCATAATCATTCCAAGTGTTGTGTATGGAAATCAGTTATACCATTTCTTTTGTTTGCTATGATTTTCTGGCTCATGTGACAGGTGAGATAAAAGAAACTTTCCCTAATATCTTTCTATTGTATACCTGAAGTAGACTGGACAATAGATTGGCTGAAATGTTTCAGTAACAAAAAAAAGTTCAATAGTTTATAACATATCATCAATACAGTCAACAAACATTTTATAAATAAATAATGACTAATTAATAATGACTAATTAATAATGACTAATAACTAATAATGACTAATAACAGGTACAAAAGCAAAATGTACATGGATATCTAAAAATGTATTACTGTATTTGACAGCTCATAAACCCCTTTCTTTTTTTAAAAATACCTCCCATGTTTTATATAAGAAGTTCAGGTATCTGTTAAGCTAATAATTACTCAGACATCATAGATTACCAGTACTTGTACCAAACCTCCATGAGATTGTAATACTAAATGTTAATGGAGATAGGAGTTGCAATCTCATATGCCATCAAATATAGTATATGTTGAAAGATTGGGGAGGGTTTTGTGATTACTGTGATGAAATCTGAATGGATCAGCAAGAGTGGACAGTAAAATAGGATCAACAAAACTTCTATAAACATAAAAGCAATCACATTACATAAATAAAACAGAGGTAAGATAAAGATGAAATAGTAGGCAAGTAACTAGAAGTTGAACTTTGATTCTAAATACCACTTTAGCAAAGGTCATTTGCTAATTAATGAGATATTCTGTTGTTGTAGTAACAGGAAGTGCAATGTTGATATTCAGACATGTCTTGTGTTATTTTAACAATGAAATATCTCATTAGTAAATAAGAGAAATCAAGTTGTTACTATATTGAATTTTATTTCTTTGTTTTTTGCTAATTTGAGGGTATATTTTTATTTTTACCGACTTAAAAAACAGATTTATTTAATATGCAACTATAATGTTAATTGTACAGATAAAAATTCTAGGTTAATTATGCCAAAAATATAACTCAGTATACTCAATATAAGAGCAAAATTACTAAAATACTGCTATAAATTTATGACCTTATAGCTAAATAAAATTGTCAAATTAGTTGCCTTTTATATAAAAGAAAACATTGGTTATGTAGAGAGCAAGCATTTTAGTTTCAATTATAGTCATTTTAGTATTAAAAAATGTTATGATATGTATGAACATATAATTTTTTTTTTACAATGATTTTTACCCTGTACAAGGCCCAAAAGCCACTCAAAGTCTATGAGGATATGTGGGGAAGGTAACAGTTGACTTGAACAGGTTAAGTTTGTAGTGATTAAGGAAGCATCCTCTTGGGACTTAGTTCCACAAAGCAGCAATTTGTGGAAAAAAGCTGCTCAAGTGGAACTTACATCTCACTTATAGAATCCAAAAGGAATGAAGGTTGCTTGCTCCAATTGTGCATGGCAAGGCAGATCCTAGCCATCAAGGGTAGAACTGATGGAACTAAGGAATGTAGTTCATCTGAACACTTTCCATGGAAATAGTAATAGAGCAACGAGAGGCCTGTAACATTTTGTCTGTGAGAAAGGGATTGAATAATTTGTCATTCACAAGGATGCAGAAATGCTTTTGGACTCCATTAAGACTTCAAAGTGAATTTAACCATACCTACTATACTTCTTTTTGGCCTTATCTGTTTCTTGTTAAAATAGTTAAAGCAAAAGGGGTCACTTCTACACCAACAGTTTCTTTTATACACTGGGAACTCCTTTCCATTTTTTGCTGAAATTTATGTTGAGTTTAATTTACCAGCAAGTCAATCAAATTTTGTCCCCTGAGAGAATACCTGTTCATCAGGATCAGTGAAAGTTCTTGGTCCACTAGATGATGAATAACCTTATATATTATCTTACAAGAAAATCACAAGTAATATCTAAAAAGAAAAAAAAAAGCCTTAGAAGAATAAAAATATTAAGGTTACTTACTTCAATCAGTAAGTAATAATTGATAATTCTAGTGATTCCCTTAATTTTCTTCTTTATGCTCAATATTTTCTGAATATTAAACTAAATAAACAACATTCTACTTACTGTTGCATAATTATGAATTCTAAATATGTATTTAGGAGGTGCAGATGGAGTAGTGGATGTTGGTACTGAAAGTGAATTAGGCATGCCAAGTTCAATTTCTGCTAGATTCTGAATTGTTTGCTTTTCTCTAATGCCCTTGGAAAAGATAAAGAATTCATTTTCCTCCAGCTATGGATTAATTAGGGAAAACTCAATCAGAAAAGCAGCCTGAAGAGAGTTGGGCTCTGTCAGACTACCTTGTCCTAGACACACTATTGCTGCTATGGCTACAGTTAATGTGGTGCCTCTATGACCCTGATGGAGATAGAAATTGGTAATTCCCCTCTTTCTCTATCTGCTGGTGCTGGACACTTTGGTAACCACCACAAAAAGTTACTGTTAATAAACAGGCATAAATATTAAATATTTTTTATATTTTATGCTAAATTCAATATAGGGTGTATAGTGGTTACTAGAAAGTAAAAACAGCATGCAGAGTTTTTAATTCTGGCTGAATTTGTTACATTCAGTTTTGTACAAATACACTTGGAAAATGTATGAATTTATTTCTCATGCCAGCTATGGGCTAAACAGTAAGGCAGATTAAGCTATGTAGCCTTGATTGGCAAACAGTCTAGGAGAAGGAAAACTGAATCAAAACATGGTTGGTTAAGGGGCTAGCAACTTCCTTTAAAACCACAGCAGCAACACAGTGGTGAATTTGTGGCCCAATTCTTCACAGGGAAGTTAAAGGAAGTCAGAGATATAGACAATTACCTGCTGTATAGTCAGTGCACTTTTTGCAATTATAAGATCTATAAAGTTAAATAATTTATATTATCTAAATTAGGAACATTTAGTATAAATTTTCTTTCATCTATCGCTTCATATCTATCTCAGTAGCTTCATATCTGTCTATCTCAGTATCTTCATTTCTATCTATGTACCTCAGTTGCTTCATATCTGTCTATCTCAGTCTCTTCATATTTGTCTGTCTGTCTATCTCAGTCTCTTCATATCTATCTATCTATCTCTTTGTATTTGTCTGTCTATCTCAGTCTCTTCATATCTATCTATCTATCTCTTCGTATTTGTCTGTCTGTCTATCTCAGTCTCTTCATATTTGTCTGTCTGTCTATCTCAGTCTCTTCATATCTATCTATCTATCTATCTATCTCTCTTCTATTTCTCTATCTATCTATCTATCTCTATCTCAGTCTCTTCATCATATCTATCTATCTATCTCTTCGTATTTGTCTGTCTGTCTATCTCAGTCTCTTCATATCTATCTATCTATCTCTTCGTATTTGTCTGTCTGTCTATCTCAGTCTCTTCATATCTATCTATCTATCTCTTCATATTTGTCTGTCTGTCTATCTCAGTCTCTTCATATCTATCTATCTATCTCTCTTCTATCTATCTGTCTATCTATCTCAGTCTCTTCTATCTATCTATCTATCTCTTCGTATTTGTCTCTGTCTATCTATCTATCTATATCTATCTATCTATCTCTTCGTATTTGTCTGTCTGTCTATCTCAGTCTCTATCTATCTATCTATCTATCTCTTCATATTTGTCTGTCTATCTATCTCAGTCTCTTCATATCTATCTATCTATCTCTCTTTATTTATCTGTCTCTATCATATCTATCTATCTATCTATCTCTTCATATTTGTCTATCTGTCTATCTCAGTCTATCTATCTATCTATCTATCTCTTCATATTTGTCTGTCTGTCTATCTCAGTCTCTTCATATCTATCTATCTATCATGACTGCAACAATGGCTGCAGTAAATGTAGTGCTTCTATGGGTGTGATGGGTTACAACACACAGAAGTATCTCCCTCTTTATATATATATATATATATATATATATATATATATATATATATATATATATAAAATTTTCAAGCTATCAACTAATCTAAGACATTAATTTTAAGTATCTACTTTAGAATGTTTGTATAACTGCACCACATCTGCCTCCCAGTCACTAAACTTTAAAGTAATTCTTCTATATTTTGATTTTCAATTTAATTAAAGTTTTAGACTAAATATTTTGAATAAAATTACTTCTAAATTTAAGATTTTTCCTTATATGCACTCAGTTGTTGGATTGGTGCAATGAGTAAAAAATAATATTTTCTAGCCTGTAAATATCATATTTTTGTTCATAGCTGTCACAATGTTCTATCAATCCTTTGTTCACTTTTGATTAGCATAAAAAATATCACCATCTCTTCTTAAAATTTTCCATATTCTTTAGCAACATGCCTATCCAAATTCACATTATATTAACAACATTGTTTTTTAACCCCTTACCATATCAATTTTTGGAAGTGAGTTATCTCCCTTAATGACTAACCAGATCAATTTTTTTTCCCACCAAATATTTACCTGTGGTGTACATTTTTTTGTTTTATAAGAGCATAATGGTGTGACAGAAAGTTCTTGGTTCAATTCATTTCTCCAAATCTGACCAAATTTCCAAAATTCAGATTATTTTTGTTAGGGCTTTCTCAACAGACCAAGAAATTTTTAGCATCTTATAATATAAAAATCATAAAATATGTTTTTTTTTCACTCCAATATGTTGGATCTTAAAAATATACACTCCTCACACAGATTACAAAAATATTAAAATACACAGGGCAAGAATTTATGAATTTTCAGATTTCATTTAATCTCTAAAGGTGGAGAGGGTTTTGTATAAAAACATCAAACTTGAATGGACCAATCAATTACAAATATATATATATATATATATATATATATATATATATATGAAAAACTTTAGTAAATAGAGAAATTTCTGGTTAAAATTTAATTAATTTTTTAACATACATTAAACTATACATTTAGTTCATAAATAACTCAAATTATAACTGATGGTTAAAAATGGTGGAAGTACAAAATACAATTTTTAAATATCTCATACTTCTCAGCATAGCATAAGTTAACTTATTGTTATAATAAATTTTCATTTGGGACTGAACCAAAAACATTTGGCCATCTTGTTATATTTTAGAGTCAAAATGAAGTTATCCTGAACTGGGGACAACCACAATGAGCCTAGTAAAGAATTTAGAAGTATGTATTGGAAATCAGAGGAAGAATCAAAGGAGATTTGCTTCACTTGTTCTCTACTATTTGTTGTTGCTGCTGCGAGAATAAGTATAAATACTAATAATAATAATGAAAAAGAAGAAGTAGGTGACTATTTTTGCCAAGCAATAAATCCTACCAATGCAAGTTGAATTTGAATTTCATTGTTGTGTAATCATATCCTTCTATGGCAACATCTAAAACTATCTTGACTGAAATTGAGAGCGAGGTAACTGCAATTTTAAATATATAGAACTAATATATAAAACATTATATTTTGGGGGTGTTCCATATACAATAAAAGGGAAAGTAATATTTATAAATGATGCAGAGTGCATAATGTAAATCATCATCAGACCAAGACATACTGTGTTGATTTATACACAGACACACATGCATGTATACATATATGTGTGTGTTTCTGTCAAATAGTTAAATTAATAGATAGAAAATACTAAACACATAACAGGCATAATTTTACTTACTGATAATAAATTATATGATTTCCATATTTAAATTAACATTTAAAAATGATATTTAGTTATTTTAAAATGATAGGAATGGAAAGAGTACAAGAATAATGTAACAATTTTTCTTTTACTGAAAATAGAGTTGCTAAAAGAGAAAAAAAATTAGTTAATTTATAAATATTTGACTTAGGAAAATATTTGCATGCCAAGAAATCAGTTTGAAGTTATAGAAAAGAGAGTGTAATTGTCTATGAGTAAAAGTGAGTGAAACTTAACAGGTAATGAGAATAAGTGTAGCTGGGATCAAGTAAACATAAGACAGAAAATAGTATGTGAGAAATAAAAAGAAAAAAATGAATACACACACACATTTATGAGAGAGAGAGAGAGAGAGAAATCAGTTTATGCACACACACATACACACTGTCTCTCACCCAATTTTAATTTCCCCTAATTTTTTGAAAACAAATAAAGGTATTTACAGAAATATTTCCCCTATTCATATGTATATTTCATATATGTATAAATTATAAAAGGGAATTTTACTTTGTAAATATAAATTGTATATATTACTTTTACAAAATGTTAAGTTTTATAAATTTTACTGGATTTTGCATGTTTCAGATTTTATCCACTGAGACTCCAAAGGCATTACATTTTTAATTAAAAATTATAATTACAGAACATGAAGAATAAAAGTTTTCAACAAAAAAATTAAACATTGTCATAATGACAGCAAAATTATAAAAACAGCATTAATGTGAAATGAACGATTTTTAAAAGTTATTTTGTGTGTTGTAACAAATATTTCTTATTTCTAAGAAATAGGCAACATGGCATCCTGAATAGCATTCCAAACTTCATCTTTGCTGGTAAATTGCCATTTTACAGTGTAAAACTTCGTCTTGAGAATGCTTAACAAATTTTTAACAAGACAAACAAAGCAGCCACTTCATCAAATGATTTTTTTTTAAATCCATTTTATTCAGATATTTTTTGATTTTCTTTGCAGAACAAGATGTAGTATTGTCATGGATAAAGTCATTATGAAAGCATTTGATTTCCTGAATAATGTCTCAACATATAGCTTAAGAAAATTAATGCCATCTATTTTATTATGCTTAGCAACAATATTACAGGCAGTAATTGGTCATATGGCAGTAGAGGTTGAACCTTCCTGTTAACAACTTGTAACTTTTGTTTTCCTTGTCATATATAGTAAACTAATGGCAGTATGGCAAAATGGTGTCTGACATGAAAGTACAGACAATGCAGAGGTCTACACTGAATTCCCCCATGCAGGAAAAATTGCACCTACCTATATTCAGTGATAAATGTTTACAAAGACCAAACAATGGATGTGAGCATATGCAGTGGGTAATGCATTTCAGCAGTGGCAATATACAGGGCGCGATGGATAAATTACACAAAAATAAAAATAACACTGACATCTAATTTTAACAGATATATTTACCAAAATTACACAAAAATATCTTGAAATACTAAAGAGCAAATTTATTAAATAAAATCACCATTGGCTTCAACCACAGCCTCCAGACAACTTCAGAATCACCTGCAACTCATCTGGACAATCTTCATGTTTAAGCTGATGAATGCTGCCTTTTCTTCAGTTCGCTTTTGGTATTACAAGGAATTTTCTTGGTCTTTCACTCAACTGTGCCCCATACATAATAATCAAGGGGGTTACAGTCTGGCAAGTTATATGGTCAGATGTAAGAAGTGATATGGTCGAAGAAATTGTCTGACAGCCATGACTGGGTTCTCCTGCTTCTGTGGCATGGTTCAGAATCCTGTTGCTTGACATAGGGCCTTCCAGCAGCCATTCTCTAGACCCAGGGCACCACTACCTCCTCAAGGCACTTGATGTAGGCCTCCATATTAAGTCTGAGGCCCTCACCAACAAATTTGGCTGTTCTTTTTTATCAGAACAATCAGAGTGAGTTTTCTGAACTTCTGTACCATCATAAACACCACTAGACCCCCTCCAACTCTTTCTGAATCCTCTGCACTGTCCTCAGATTGGCACCCAAATACTCTGAAATGTTTGTATTAGAGCTTCTGGTGCAAATGCCAAACAGCACAGAAGGCCATTTCAAAAACAGACAATGTGCATATGTGAAATTAAAAATATAAAATGGTGACAATTTACCTATCGCACACTGTCTGTGAAAAAGTATGACATGAAATGAACAAGATTTCATTGATGAAAATGCACAGGTAATGTAATGACTATATTGAAAAAAAGTTTTCTAGCTGCAAACTTGTTCTATCCCATAATGTTATTGTGCTCTCTGTATATGTTGTAGTTTCCATGATAATAAATAGGAGGTATATTCATACAGTTAAAATCTCAGATGTGAAAACTTTCTAAAGACCTTATCATTTTTGATGACATGGGTAAACTAGTATCAAAAGATATTTTTAGTAATGTGTATATATATATATATATATATATATATATATATATGAATAAAAACAAAATGGAAACTTATCTTAGCTGACATGTTTAATTCTCTGTGGGACTTTATCTAGGCATAATGCAAGGATTTTATTTTGTAACAAGTATTTATATGGAAGAGCAAAAATATTATTGGTTTTTTGAAATTTTTAAATTTAAGAACCCTCATAAATATCCATCAGATTAGCTGAAAAGTCTAGGCAAACTATGGAGGATGCTAAGTGACACAATTCAATGGTGAATACATGAAAGTGAGTAAATGATATTCTTGAATTATTTTGTTTTAATGCAAATTTGCATTTAAATTATTTTTTGTTTGGGATTAATTTATGTTTTATTTATTTGAAATAACAGGAGATTATGAATTTATTCATTTTCTTTAAACTTTTTAACATTTTTATAGTCATGTATGTTGGCTTTTGATAGGAATAATTCTTTTAGGAATGGAGATATTGGAAAAAATCCATTTGATTTGATGGTGGCACTATTGAGAATTTTCTGTCTAAGTAAGTTACTTTTTCTTTTAATAAGTGCAGCATTCCTTAGATCAAAGTTGTGGTTAAACTTATTTCTATGTATAACTAATATATTAAATCTTATAGTTAAATATTTTGAAGAAAACTTATAACGTTTGTGCTCTTGTATATAAATACTTGTTACAAAATAAAATCTTTGCATTTGCCTTGATAAAGTCCCTAAGAGAACAAAATGTGTCAGCTAACTTTTCCTTTTGTCT